AAGCCAAAGTAGCAGCACAGCGGAAAACTATCAAAAGACTGCGGAGCCAGCCTCACCAAACTAACCATTCATTCGTTGCATACATTGTTTTGGTTACCCGCTATGAGGAGTAGGGACACTGTGTATTCGCTCGAAGTGATTTCCATAACCTTAAAAAGAATGTTGGTTATCCTGTCTGTATTTTTATAGCAAATGCGGGCAAACTGTACACTCTACTGTGGGTCGCTTGGTCACTGTGTATGCTTTATCTCTCCAGCTCAAGTAATATATCGATAACAAAACCGCTTGTTGAAATGTCTTCGAGCGGGTAAGGAACACAGTCTGAAGGGGGCACAGTTCACGTTATCACGCTTTTTGTATTTTAGTGTCTCATCAACCTCCTCATCTCGCCCATCAAAATTTTCAAAAGAATACCCACACTTGTAGCGTTTGATGGGGCTGCGGACGCTGCCATTTTATTTTTATATAGCTTGTGAGTGATAACGTACGATGTAGAGCCTTTGCGAAAAATAATGAGCCAAAGTGGTCTCCTTCTGCTATTTATTAGCCCTGTAATACCGCTCTCGTAACACCAATTAAGGTCCACAATTCTGGATAAGTGATGACTACGCTCTATTTTAGCTCGCAAGCGTCACAGCAACACCCAGACGCAAATCACTTGGGATCTTAAGTTTTTGATGATAAGAAGAGCCACAAGACCTGCCATTGTTGTAGCATAAAGTTTGTCTTTCACGTAGTGAGCAAGCTGCAAAGCTCTACCTTTTTGAGGACAAGCAGGCATCTAGTCTGCTTTTTTTTTCATTTTGGGCTAGCGGTTCTTAAGCACAGCCAGTACACTGCAGGTTTGCCTTTCTGCTATATTGTGTCGTGTGGTTTCTGTGCACTCTTTTTTTCTATGCATTATTTTGGTTAACCCCAGGCGTGATTCGCGACTTCATTGCTGTGTATATGTCACTTCTTCCTTCTTCTTCAGCATTGTGCGCTGTGTTTTTGCCATAGATCCTTACTTACCCACGGGCCTGGTGTGTCATACTTGACGAGGTTCTCGGCTTCTGCCAACTAACGATGTGTGCGTTGTCTGTTTTCTCTCTGTATTTGTCACAATATCTGTTACAATTTATTTGTAAGGCGAGATGCATTTGTTGTCTACCTTTGTCATATTTTGCTTTTTATATTCTCAGACTCTACCTTGCCTTTGAATAAAACATTGCGGATACTCTGTCTCTTTGAATGATATATACATTGATCACTTGTTCCAAAAGAACAAGTGATCAACAAGTGAACAAAAGAACAAGAACAAGCACGATGAATAAAATCGTAGTGAATTATCACTACCTGCACCTCTCTTTATTATAACCTAATCGAAATAAAAATAAAAAAAATAAAAATTCAAAATTTGCGCCAGTGAAACCGAAACAGGAACCGCATGCCACTTGCTCTCACCAACCACCAGGTGTGCTAGGGTCGAATGGGCTGCTGGGGTCTACGGGAGTGTCCACTCTACACCTTTTTTTATTTCTCTATGGGCTAAATTCGTATCAACGAACTGGGTAAACAAACAGCGCCATACGTGACTTCGGGTAGGAAGCTGTCTAACCATCCTTTCGCGCCTTCGACTAAGCTTTAGAACATATCTGGGCTAAAAACGCCCGTTTATACAAATGATAACTGGTGGAAAGAATCTCATGCTCTCAAAATTGAAGTCTATCCTAATAATGCATGCTGGTATATGTGAACAACATAGTATTTGTTATTCAAACATGCATTATTCGTGAGTAGTCAGTCCTTATAGAAAAATTTATATCGCGTTCAAAGCCTTACTAAGCTATTTGTTCGATGGAACAAAACGCATCCACCTTTTTTAGCCAGAACAAGTGCATCGCTTCCCGAAAAGCTCTTGCACGACTATTTCTACTAATTTCAGATCACCAGAAACTCTAAAATTTATGACACACGGCGTCAGAGCGATTTCTTTATTAAATAAAACGTTTACAACCTGAAAACAGAATTATCTTGCTGAAACAGTTAAAACACGACATGCTCTAGTTTGAAGCGTCCGCGTTATCTAAAATGCGTGTAATAATCAACAGTCGTTATGCCTTCATCAATAACTAAAAAAATGGCAGCATATCCACGGAATCAATGACGAATAGTGGGGCGAAGCATCCATCCATCCATTGGTTCTTGCTTTCGTCAATCCATGCGTGCGTCCGTGTGGCCAACTGTGCATTCTTCCGCCCATCCATGCGTGCGTCTGTTTGTGCGTCCACACGTTCATCTGTGCGTCCGTCCCTGCTTTCATCCATGCATCTGCTCCTGCGTCCGTCCATGCGTCCATCCGTCCGTGCAGCTATCCGTGCGTCTGTCCATGCATCTATCTGTGTGTCCATTCGTCCACCTATTCAACACTTCAAGTACCACCATCTCACAACTTTTCATCATATATTCCCCATATAGAAGCAACGCCATTCAGCGGATATTCCAAGGACAGAACGAGAGGAGGCACACGCACACTCATCGGCTTGCGCTTCTTGTCTACTTTCCACCTTTAACCGCCTCGAGTTCATGGTATATAGTAGTTGACTGTATTCATGGCACTGCGGCCCAACGCGCTGGCTAAACCTTTTTTAAAACCTACGAGGTTACGCCCAGCAAGTATAACGTAGCAACCCTTTCTTGTCTTCTGTGCGTTTTTGAACAATAAAAAATAGCAGCGTGCGTGTTAACTAAAAGCCGAATTCTCCTGTCTCTCATTCCCTCTTAGCAGCCATTGGCATGTACATTGAGCACTATCTTTTATTATTCAACAACGCACAAAAGAAACATCTCACCGGCAACACCTTGGAGGTCAAAATGTTATACTTCTAACACCATACTACAACGGCTACGAGGGACGAACGGGTGTCGCTATAAGGAGCTTCGCCTCTAAACAATGACAGCATATCAACGGTGTTAATAATGGGGAGACGAGCGAACTAGGTCCGCACGCCGCTGACGCGCCGCTTCAGCTGCCCTTACGCCGGAATTCTGTCGGCGCCACCGCACATCTTCACGGCACGCTTCTGCCTCACACGCTCACACATCGGGGTTCCGTCTTCGAGCGCGAGTCGCCACCACCATAGAGAAATAAAAAAAAAGGTTAAGAGTGGACACTCCCGTAGACCCCAGTGGCCCAATCGACCCTAGCACACCTGGTGGTTGGTGAGAGCAAGTGGCGTGCGCTTCCTGTTTCGGTTTCACTGGCGCAAATTTTGAATTACTTTGCGTAACCGACGTTTGGCTATGACGAAAGTTCATGATTTCAGACCACTTTTCATCGCCCAAATGGATAGTTTTTGTAGGTCGTTTTGATTTAGCGATTCCCTGTTTTGTTTTGTTCAATGGTTCGTGCGAATTGGTCGTGACGTAATTTTTATTTCAAATAAGTTATAATAAAAAGAGATGCAGGTAATGATAATTCACTACGGTTTTATTCATCGCGCTTGTGTTTTTCTTTTGGAACAAGTGATCAATGTATATATCAGTCAAAGAGACAGAGTATCCGCAATGTTTTATTCAAAGGCAAGCTAGAGTCTGAGAATATAAAAAGCACAATATGAGAAAGGTAGACAACAAATGCTTCTCGCTTTACAAATAAATTGTAACAAATATTGTAACAAATACAGAGAGAACACAGACAACGCACACATCGCTAGAGTTGGCAGAAGCCGAGAAGCTGGTGAAGTATGACACGCCGGGCCAGGGGGTAAGTAAGGATCTATGGCAAAAACAGAGCGCACAATGCTAATGAAGAAGGAAAGAGTGACATATACACAGCAATGAAGTCACGAATCACGCCTGGGGTTAACCGAAATAATGCATAGAAAAAAAGAGCGCACAGAAACCACATGACACAATATAGCAGAAAGGCAAAGGCGCAGTGTGCTGGCTTTCCTTAAGAACAGCTAGCCCAAAATGAAAAAAAAAATGCAGACTTGATGCCTGCTTGTACTCATAAAGGTAGGGCTTTGCAACTTGCTCACTACGTGAAAGACAAACTTTACGCTACAACACTGGCAGATCTTGTGGCTCTTCTTATGCGTCGCCTTCATCAAAAACTTAAGATCCCAAGTGATTTGCGTCTGGGTGTTGCTGTGACGCTTGCGAGCTAAAATAGATTGTAGTCATCACTTATCCAGAATGGTGGACCTTAATTGGTGCTACGAGAGGGGTATTATAGGGCTAATAAATATCAGAAGGAAACAACTTTGGCTCATTATTTTTCACAAAGGCTCTACATCGTACGTTATCACTCACAAGCTATATAAAAATAAAATGGCAGCGTCCGCAGCTCCATCAAACGCTACAAGTTTAGGTATTCTTTTGAAAATTTTGATGGGCGAGATGAGGAGGTTGATGAGAAGCTAAAATACGAAAAGCGTGATAACGTGAACCATGCCCACTTCATACTATGTTCCTTACCCACTCGAAGACATTTCAACAAGCGGTTTTGTTATCGATATATTACTTGAGCTGGAGAGATAAAGCATACACAGAGACCAAGCGACCCACAGTAAAGTGTACAGTTCGCCCGCATTTGCTACAAAAATACAGACAGGATACCCAACATTCTTTTTAAGGTTATGCAAATCACTTCAAGCAAATACACAGTGTTCCTACTCCTCATAGCGGACAACTAAAACAATGTATGCAACAAAGAAGTGGTTAGTCCAGTTGAGCTGAATATAAGCATATAAGACCATAGTAAAGTCTGCTGTAACGAAGTAATAACATAACAAAGCTATTGCAGGATTCGGCTCAACTCGAATACTTTAGTGTAAACCCGCTGCTAATTGCTAACCTTTGAACTTGTCAAGCTGTATGCCTGAGATTGAAGACTGGAACCTAACTCTATCTAAGTTTCGGTTCACAAAACGCACATGCCAACATAAACGAACCCGGCAAAACATTTTCAGAAACTTCGCGCGACACCCAGCAGAGCAGAAATTAAAATTGCCAACACTTGACAGATGGTGATACAAAACATCGCACACTTTCAGGTGATGTGCAGTGACCTGAATCATAACAAGAAAGTGAGATTCATCTTGTTGTACGTATGCAAAAGCTGCTTCTGATGGCACAGTGAGATTCTCAAAAAGTTTGCTGGGGACGTGGTATGCTTTGAGCATTGTAAAATACTGGTGGGTACCCTTAAGCGACTGTGTCGTCTTTCAGTAACTGTGGGCAACTGAAACCGTCACATGCATTCCGAAGAAAGTGTTGGATGAAAAAACCAGCTGCATAATATGTAGCGCACTCATCGATAATATGGGAGTGAATGTTGGTCGCAAGTTCAGAGAGATTGTCTAGATCGGGAAAGTCGTCAGGCTGTGGCTGTGCACACTCCTCCTCATTATCCACAAGAGACGCACTGGTGAGGGGGAATGGCGAGAGCTGCTCCTGGAGGAGGTCAAATTCATCATCATCGAGATTTCCGTATTCTGACAGCTTGAAGAGTTTTCTTATGTAGATGTGCTTCAGGCCACAAATAAATTGTGCTACATTGGGGTTGGTGTTGCAAACCTGTTTTTGCCTAATGTGGCCAAATATGTTCTCCAGAGGATCCTGTCGAAGCGTGCGTGTTAACAGGTCTTCAAAATTGTAATTTTTGGAGAGGTCGTCCCATTGTTGACAAATATCCTGAATTGTAGTTTGCCAACCTACGATGGTTTGTGGTTGACGTCTGCCAACAAACTGCCATAATGCAATCCAGGGAAGCTGGCTTCGGAGGAAGTCAATCAGCTCTGAATCATTTTTCATGATTGCATGCCGCAGCTTTTGCGAAGATCTTTTTTTATTCGAGCTGTTGAAGGCATCGAAAATACTGTCCATAAAATCACAAAATTGAGCTGTAGTGATGGCCGAGGCAGGCAGCACCATCGCATACACCATTGCCGTGATAGCAATCGAAACTGATGCACTGAGGACCTGAGTTGCTCTGCTGAACTTCATATTAGAAAAAGGCTTCTGATGAACGTGCCGTTCAGTCAACTTTGGAGCCAATCGCAACCGCAACTCATTTGAGGATTGCTAAAGGCTTACAACGTGCGACCAGTTAACGAATGTCATCCCCAATGTATAACTTGTGTGCTTGGACATTAGTGCGCGTTGTTTTAATCAAATGCGGAACATCAAACATGTAATACAGCCGCTCACCATTAACTTCAAAAAAAGGCTTTGCTACAGTCACTATTAGTTGGTTAGCGAAACTCACATTTGAACTGCCCAGGTCACAAATGACTGCTTTCACTGCAATAATAATGCTCCTAAGCTCTAAAATGAGTGACACCAGCAAGCTATGCATAACAGATGATGGTGTTTATGTGTGCCCTATAGTAAAAGCAACCGGTCGAACCCACTTTTTCGAAACACCAACGAGAAGAAAACCAGTGCTCGATCAGCAATGGTTGAAGTGCGATGAGTGCCATCATCTGTAAAACCTTGAACAACGTCTCTCACAGCATCATAGTACAAATTCTTTTTGAGTGCTATTTCGTCGAAAACTAAAGCGCACACTCGGTTCCGTTCATTCCAAGCTTGAGTATTTGTTGCAAAGGAAGAAAGGATTCCTGAAATTGTGCCTGCAGTTATCTTTACATTAGCTAGCCACCTCCTTAATGAACGCCGGGAAGGCAAAGAAAAATATGGAGCCAGAAATCGGTATGCTTGAGGACCTCGAAAGTTTAAGTGAAGAGCAAATTTCTTGAACCACAAGGGAAACCGCTTGCCCTTGCGTTTGGGCCTGCAAGCGAACATGTGCTGAAAGAAGTTTAAAAACCTCCTCGGTGACGTGCGGTCGGATAACTCCAAGGGCCTTTGAAGTCGATGACGGTGCTTGGTGAGGCTGTCTCCGCAGTCTTTTGATAGTTTTCCGCTGTGGTGCTACTTTGGCTTGCAGATGTTTAATGGTTTGCTTGTACTTCATTGATGGAGACATTGTCGCTGACACACAGGAACGCACTGCAATAAACAAAAAAATGGATGTGAAAGCGAAGAACAACTAATCCCATACGAGCACTTTCCTCGCTCTTTCAGATCCAAGGTTCACAACTTTCTGTGGTGCAAAGTTTTCGATTCCACTACCTAAAAACAAACCATTCACAATGTTGAATTTGCAAACAAAAAATGAAAATCACTGAGAGCCCACCCTTACATTTTGTAAGTGCACACGTAGTGTTCTTTTAGGATAGTTTCCTCAGAATGTCCTAAACATAAAATAGCACATTGAAAACAGCTGCAATAAAAGCATAGTCACCATTTTCTCTAGGGCACTCAGGCGTGGAGCTGTTGGCGGAGACGTCTTTTGGGGAGGTCTTGTGAAGCTTGTTCAGTGCCTCGGACAGTGCTGTCGGAACAATCTTGCGAGCGGCCTTCGGAAGTCTCTATATCAATCCACTCTCGTGTTGAAGTGAACATACAACTTACCGGTCACACAAGTTCCTTTTGTGACAGCTGAATGACTGGTTAAGGTTTTCTCCGGCAACACAAAGTCAGCAGAAGTTGTTTCACCAGCTACAAGGGAGCTGCCACCTGCAGAGGTTTGGTCAACAGTCAATTTGGGTAAAAAAAAAGAAATCGCGACACTGAACGCACCCTGCTCATCGGGGCACCTCAATGTGTGGGAGCCGCTTTTTGAAGCCTCTACCGCAGGTCCTGAAGAAATGAAATTACGACAATGTGTCAGTAAGAGGCTTAAAATAGCACAAACTGAAGCTCATCCGCACCTTGCAGTGCAGCTTCTGCAGTCATGTCACAGTCACTATTTGAAGCGACGCTCAGAGAACCTGCATATATGTGCAGTTGGTACAAGTTACAAAGCTTGTAGCATGGGGAAACTTAAACAGCTCTTTCAAACGCCAAAATTGGTCGAACGTGGAAGAAAAGAGAAGGCACCAACTAGGAAACAAATAATTTGTGATTTTTGGAATTATCAACAGTGCCAGCTTTCGCTGATGAAAGGTATATGTACATGTGCACTCAGGCTTGAAGATAACGTGAAATAGCGCTTTAAAGGCTTTCAAAACAACTTGCGCAGGTCAAGAGCATCAAAAAACGACAGAAATGTAAACCGGCTGTTAGGAAGGTAATAGCCCACAATTCACAAAATTTAAGACTTTCCAAATGTTACTTCTATAGTGAGGTTTGTCCATCGGCTACAAAGATCTTCGCGGTTAACTGTCGCCACTGATTCAATACAAGTGGCTGCTATTGCACATATTTGAGTTTCAGTCAATCACTTACAAGTTGCAGCTGGTTGTACACAGGGAACAGCCATTCTTGTAAGCCCAGGGTCCATGAAACTTTGAGCAGTAAAATGGTTGCTACAAACCCTGTACGTTGCGTACAATAGGCTGGCCGGCTTACTCAGGAGATCATCGCGTCCAGCATACTGCATCCATGCTTTTTCATCCTGCATTCGCAATGAATTATCAGATGAAAGAGGAAGTGCTTGAATAGTGATTTTGCATTGTTACCCTCACTGAGCAAGTACGAACAGTAAGCCTAAAGACATGCAAACCATACAAAAGCTTCAACACACCTGCCGTCCCGTGGTATGCGGAAGAAACTCGTCCCAGGCTTCTTGTGGGTTCAGCCATTGTTGAAGCACCACGATACACAGTAGTAGCTGCTGTAGCTTGGCCGCCGGACGGCATGGCATCAGTGCGGTCTGAAAATGTTAGTAAGTGAATGCTTCGCTGTCAAATTAAGAAAAAGATATGCGCACGTCATAAGTCTACCACAAACCACTTTGAATGATTAGCTGATCGATGCACAATACAAAACCAGTGATACATCCCTGACCCATAAAACTCTGACTTACAAAGATAGACGTCAAGACCACGTACAAAAATCTTCAGAAGTTTCCAGGCCGCTATCCCTTGTAATGCAATGGTATCGCGGCCTGGGAACATTAGAACACTTTCGTGCGTACGCAGCAGTGCATTGGGAAGAAAAATCGTGCTTGAAATTTGTGCGGTAAAATTATATTGGAAACGTCAAAAAAATTTGTGGGCAGCTTGCACTAGTGGCACAAGGCTAGCGAAGAAACGAAGATGATGGCCACTTGGCTAGTCAAGATTTGCCTCCGGCACATCAAGAATTATTCGTGTTCCGAGCCTTCGGGAAACGCGTCGTGAAGCATGCGAGGCCCAGCGAACGCTTCTCAATATTTTGCACCGAGCCACCGAGCCTATGACCTAGCTGCCCAGCTATGCTCAGCGCACAGACGCTCGCGTCCGTGGCAGACGCAGCACGCGTCGCCTCGGCTTGACGCCGTGCCGCCTTTGCTATACTGCATACGTTGCACAATGTTCCCGTCTAGCCGCCGCATAGAGCCGCAAACTTTCTTTTTAGCGAACCTCCCAGTCCTTACAAGCTTCAGAAAAAGGTTACAACTGCGTGAATGAGACGCCACGTAAGAAACCAACTCACACACACGAAGCTCAACATGTGTGCGTGCATCTTTCTATGTTTGTTGCATGGTGTCTTATTCGCGCAGGTGTAACCGTTTTCTGAAAAAATGACCCAACAAGCCCAACAACAAGTCATTCAACAAGCTTCGCTTCAAAATGTGCCTCACCTGTTATCTCACGTTAAAAACGCCGACGCAGCCGACGCTGACGAATGCGACGAAAGCTTCCCGCTGTCAGTCATGCATGGGCTTGTCGCTGGGTGGATGGTGTTTGTGACAGTACGGCTGAAGAAAACTAATCGCGTAAGGTGTGTTGAATAAATTGTTTTTATGTATGAAGAACATGCCAGATATGGGCGTATAATTATTATTTTGTAAAAACAATTCTGTTGCATTGATTATAACTGTTTTTTTTGCGCTTGCGTCCTCTGACGTTTGGTGAGAGCACTAGTTCGTTACAAAGTCGTGACGCACTTTTTGGCGCCAGGTTTCGCGGAGTGTCCTCTCTTCTCTTTTTCTTTCTTTATGCCACCACTTTGCACGCACGCCGCAAAGCAGCCTTGTCATTCAGCCGACCTTCCAAATGTGCGCGCGCGCTAGAACGGCTTTCATTTTACTACACCGAGCCCCCTAGCGTGCGGTGCCGCCAACGAACACGCTATCGGCAACGTCTTCGTGTGACGACATTCCAATTTTCTCGCGTGCTCGCACACCGGGGTTAAGCCTTCGTTTAAGAGCCGCTGCCATCTTGCGCGTATCATACCTTTTATTGGCAATCTGTGAATCATCCGCTGGCTGCGTCCCTCCGTCGTCTGTCTGCCTGTCTGTTTGACGCAAGGAGGGACAGACGGATGGATGAACGGATGCATGAATGAACGAAGAGACGGTCAGACGGGTGTACGGACGACCACACGGATGAACGCATGGGAGGAACGGATGGATGCACGGATGCATGGACAGAAGGACAAATGACGCATGGACGGATGCACGACAAGACCGGTGTGCTTATGGACGGGCGGACCAAGTATGGATAGACGGACAGATGAATGGACGCGCGGATAGACGGAAGCAAGAACGAACGGACGGACAGAAGCATGGACCGACTTCTGGACGCTTCGCACCCCTCATTATCTTTGACTTCATGGATATGCTGTAATTTTAGGGGTGAAGCTCCTTATCGCGTGGGTCTGTGGCTACTCCGTATGTATGTATGTATGTATGTATGTATGTATGTATGTATGTATGTATGTATGTATGTATGTATGTATGTATGTATGTATGTATGTATGTATGTATGTATGTATGTATGTACGTACGTACGTACGTACGTACGTACGTACGTACGAAGCCACTGGCGGCACATATGCGTTCTAGAGCGGGTATGTGCCACAGGGGTTGCGAGATGGGAGAATGCGATATTTGGAGTGTTCACTAGGTTTATGCACTGACGGACATACAGACTAACAGACGTATGGACGGAGGGGTGGACGCTAGGACGTACGGATGAATGGACAGACTCACGGACCGACGCTCAGATAAATGGACGGATGCATGGATTGACGCGTGGTAGGTCACGTGGATGGGCGGAAGCAATAACGAACGG